AGCCCATATCCATTATAGAACTATGGCTTGAAAATGTTTTGGTCAATACCTGAAAAAAACTAAAATTGTGCCAGTGTCCAAATATATATGGCCCTAACTTTATATACCATAGTTTGTAGACACTACATCTTTCACACAAACCAATTAATGTACAGTTGACATGTAGCAGTTTACATTTTGGCCTAAATTTATATAGTAATTTTATTTTCTTATTTTTTTATTGGATATTTATAACAGAAAATATTGTTATTTTTCTTCAAAATGTTCAGTCTTTTTTCATTTATATAAGAAAAACCCTAGTGGTGATCAAATACCACCAAAAGAAAGCTTTGTGTGAAAAATTATATACATTTCATTTGTGTACAGTGTTGCATGCCTGTGCAATTGCCAGTCACAGGAGAGCAGTGCTTAATAGCAAAAAACTGGCCTGGACATGAAGGGGGTAAAACCTTCTGGAGCTCAAGTAGTTAGGAATTTTATGTCCAAGATAGGATGATTACCCCTGTTGGATTTTGACACCATAAACTGACTTGTATAGGGTAGAAATAATTGATAGTGAATGTAGAAATAAATATATGATTTTACATTTTGACCATTGATACTCTTTAAACAGCAAGTGCAGTCACAAATCAGTATCTGAGAAAAAGGGTATTAAGAACTACCAACTTTATGGAGTTATAGCCAGTGGGATCCATAAGATGCTAGTATGTACAGAATACTTGCTAATTGTGGCAAAATTACCTCTCAGTTTCATGTTCAAGTCATGAGAGGTCTGCACTCTCAAGTATCCACCATCTTCTCCAATGCTTCTGCTGTTTGTGTCTTCTTTGTTTAGCCACTGAGTGACCAGTGATGATGCAACTCCAGCATATGTGTGATGGTGCTGCATTATCCCAGAATGAGTGTGCACTGCAAGGTAGGCAATGTAAATGAAAAACCCCCCAAAAAAAGCTAAAAAAAAGGAAAAACATAACAATAACATTCAGTATATTGGTTTGTTATCCACGCTTATGGACTAATAGCAATGTAGTTGCCTACCACTCCTCTTATACCCTCAGAGGGATAAAGATGGCAAAATACAAAATTTTAGTGTGGCGCTACTAAATGATGCTATAAAACACCTTCCTCCCACATGTGGGCAGCACTTACAGACTATATGTGTTTCCTCCTCAAATGAATCCAATAATGTGATATAAAGACAAATCCAATGGTGTGATGTTAAAATACCAACAAGATTACAAACAAAAGTTATGATGTACTACAATACACCTCCCTCCTCAAAAACATACGTTTGTGTGTGTTTATGTAACAATAATAATTTGTTACATTCTCCCAATGCAATAAATATACAATAGAAAAATACAAAAAAAGTGCTCTGATGTTGCAAACTGTGTGCTGCATACTACAGAACACGTCCCCCTACTAAAAACTAAATTTGCTCCTGTGCAAAATCAATACAATAACATTTGTGACATCCATAATATGCAATTCCCAAAAAGTGATTCAGTGCAGTCCACTTAAAAGTGCTCTTGATTTCACTACAGTGCTACGTTCCTTCGTGTGACACTCGTGCTTCCCATCCGCATTGGGTCATTAAGATTCCCTCTTTACAGGCGAGTCATATGCGCTTGGTTTAGCTTCCACCTTCAATATCTCCACACCTCCTCTTATTTTCACCTCTTGTATCCCCGAAGCTCCTTCTCCTCCACTCCAACAATAGTTAATCGAGAGAATCAAAAAGCAGAAATCCAATAGTGTAATACTGTTTATTAAAAATTCCACATATATACAAATTGCTCTTACATAAAAGATGCACAAAGAATGCTTCATTTCATGGTTCCGGGGCGCTCTTGCGTTCCATGGACCTGAAGCAGGTGACCGGCAGTGACGCAAAAGGCTGCGCCCAACTAGTTTAGTCGGTGTGATGTCATTCAGTATATACAGTTGTGCTCAAACGTTTGTGTACTCTGGTATAAATTGTAAAATTTTGATATTTATAATGAAAATATGACTGATCATGCGAAAAAAACTGTCTTTTATTTAAGGATAGTGGTCATATGAAGCCATTTATTATCACATAGTTGTTTGGCTCCTTTTTAAGACATAATGAAAACAGAAATCATCCAAATGGCCATGATCAAAAGTTTACATACCCTGGAATGTTTGGCCTTGGTACAGACAGACAAGATTTGATAGACAGGTTAATATGGCAATATGGCAATTAATAGGTTAATTTCCCATATCTGTGACTTTTTAAATTGCAATTAGAGTCTGTGTGTAAATAGTCACAGAATTTGTTAGCTCTCACGTGGATGCCCTGAGCAGGCTAGATACTGAGCCATGGGGAGTAGAAAAGAGCTGTCAAAAGACCTGTGCAACAAGGTAACAAAACTGTATACAAATGGAAAAGGATATAAAAAGATATCCAAAGTCTTGAATATTCCAGTCAGTAGTGTTCTATAATTTATTAACAAGTGGAAAGTTCAGGGATCTCTTGATACCAAGCCAAGGTCAGGTAGACCAAGAAAGATTGCAGCCACAACTGCCAGAAGAATTGTATGAGATACAAAGCAAAACCCACAGATAACCTCAGGAGATGTGAAATGCCTTATTTACATTTTTTCTCAGCACTTGCACACAGACAAACCATCTACCAAAAGAGTTAAAGCGACATAAGTTGGAGCAAGTACAACACTTCCAAAAGTGCTTTCAACAGTTACCTTTTATTCAGTATTAGGTTCATTTTTAAACTAGCAAAAGAGTGCCAGTTGGTGCATGTGACTAATTGGGATGAAGTTTATTTAGAAAAGAGCTATTTGTGAGGGACAGGCAGTGGTGTATTTAGGTTTTGTGTTGCCTTGGGCAACGCAAAAATCATCTGCCCTCATGGACATCGACCAACACCCCTGCCCCCCACCTGGGAGAACCTTCCATTACCCCCCCTTCCCCGGCATAGGGAGAAAGACACTCATTTTCTGAGCTCCAGACATCCCCAAGAATGAGAGTCAGGCTCTACATACACCATCAAGCAGCCCACAGCCTCTCTTGGATCCCACTTGGTTCCCATGGCGTGCATGTCCCTTCTTTCATCCCTTCTTCTGGGGGGAGGTGCTGCCCCCCCTGAAAAATGCCACCCTAGGCAAGTGCCTTGTGGTAAATATACCCCTGGGGACAGGCAGAAAAAGGACACTCCTCTCACTTTTGAATAGTACAAATATGTGTACAATGTATTTGAAAAAAAAAAAGAATGAGAGAAAATATTAAAGGTTTAGTCAATCTTATGAAAAAAAAAAAATCAGTGACAGTAACAGCCCCCCCTTACATCACAGCACCATCACTCACCCCCGATGTGGGGTCCAAGCACTAACCAGTATTCACCAGAGCTCTAGTTGATGGAGATGGATTTTGCTGCATGTTAGTACCAGGTCATGGTCCCCAGGATTGCCTCACCAGGAGCTGTGTAAGCCAGGGTCCAGTAGCAGATATAGAAGGTACAGATCAAGCAGAAACATAATCAAGGAGCAAGCCAAAGGTTGGTAACAAGTGGTTGCAGGTTGGGGTCAAACGGAAGCCTAGTCGAAGAACAAGATAAAGGTCGATAACGAGTGGTAATAAGGATACGGATGGCAGCAGGAATGTCAAGAGCAAAATACTGGCTGGAGAGAGCCCAATAATCTGGAAAACAGTGCAAAGGCATGATTTAAATAGGAAGATGAGGGAGAAATTAGTTCATTGTTCAACTCAAACAAAATGCAAGGCAAGATTGTCCAAAGCGTTAAAGTAATCATCCTGTACAATAGACAAGCATATTCAGCGCTCGCACATTAATAGAATAAATAATAGTGTACCAGTCCACAACAAGAGGTGAAATAGGGATAACAAAATGCGGTGTGACAGTGGTATGTCAAACAGTCAATTCATCCGAGTGGTATGCAGAGTATGGAAGGTATGGGCAATGGAAACTGAAGCACACACGATGAAACCGGAAGCTCCACGCCAAGGATTATTATTATTATACAGTATTCATATAGCTCCAACGGTTTGCTCAGCGCTGTACATTATAATGGGAGACAATACACGAGACAGTACAGTAACAATACAATACACGAGGGGTTTGAGGGCCCTGCTCCTTGGAGCTTACAATCTAGGAGGGAGAGGAGAGTGGTACAGGAGGAAATAGGTGTGGGGGATGGAGTGGTGGGAAGAGCGGAGGAGATCAGCAAATTAGGTGAGGGCGTGGTAGGCTTCTCTGAAGAGAAGGGTTTTCAGGGTGCGCCTGAAGGTGAGGAGGGAAGGTGACAGTCTGATGGATTGGGGTAGTGAATTCCAGAGGATGGGGGAAGCCCTGGAGAAGTCCTGGAGACGGGCATGGGAGGAGGAGACCAGGGAACTGGAGAGAAGGAGGTCTTGTGAGGAGCGGAGAGTGCGTTTTGGGTGGTAGATTGATATCAGGTCGGTGATGTAGTTTGGGGCAGTGTAATGAACAGCTTTGTACGTTAACCACTTGCGCACTTATACCCCCTTATTTACCAGGCCAATTTTCAGCTCTCAGCGCTGCCGCACTTTGATTGACAATTGCGCGGTCATGCAACATTGTACCCATATGAAATTTTGATCATTTTTTTCTCACAAATAGAGCTTTCTTTTGGTGGTATTTAATCGCCACTGGGCGCTTTACTTTTTGCGCTATAAATACAAAAATTGCAAAAAATTTGAAAAAAAAAGAAGTTTCTTTGTTTCTATTATAAAATTTTTCAAACAGGTAATTTTTCTCCTTCACTGATGTGCGTTGATGAGGCAGCACTGATGGGCACTGATAGGTGGCACTGATGGGCACTGATAGGCAGCACTAAAGGGCACTGATAGGCAGTACTAATGAGGTGGCACGGATAGGCGGCACTGATAGACAGCACTAATGAGGTGGCACGGATAGGCGGCACTAATATGCAGCACTGATAGGCGGCACTGATAGGTGACACTGATCATGGGTACTGATAGATGGCACTGACTGGCATCACTGCTGGGCACTGACTGGTGGCACTGACTGGCACAACCCCTGGGCACTGACTCATGGCACTGACTGGCAGCACTGGTGGGTGGCACTGGTGGGTGGCACTGGTGGGTGGGCACAGGTGGGTGGGCACAGGTGGGTGGCACTGCTGGGCACAGGTGGGTGGCACTTCTGGGCACAGGTGTGTGACACTGCAGAGTGGCACAGGTGGGTGCACTGCTGGGCACAGGTGGGTGCACTGCTGGGCACAGGTGGGCGGAGCTAGTGGGCGCACTTCTGGGCACAGGTGGGCGGAGCTTGCGGGTGGCACTGCTGGGCACCGATCATCAGGGCACTGATCATCAGTGCCCTGATGATCGGTGCCGATCCCTGCTCTGACAACTGCCGGTTCTCGGCAGTACTTTCCTCACGATCTGACAGCGTGAGGAAAGTGCAGCCGAGAACCGGCACTTGCATTTTCCTCTGATCAGCGTGTCATTGGACACCGCTGATCACGTGGTAAAAGACGGCTGTGATTGGCCTTTTACCACATCACGTGATCAGCTGTGTCCGTAGGACACAGCGATCACGGAGATCACCAGGTGCACGCCCCCTGGGGCGCGCAGGAGAGCGCGTTCTGGGAGGACGTCATATGACGTCCACCCAGAACTGGCCGGCCGCAGTGCAGCCGTCATTCGGCTATCTGCGGTTGGCAGGTAGTTAATGTTAATATTTTGAATTTTATGTGTTTGGGCAATTGGAAGCCAGTGGAGGGATTGGCAGAGGGGGGTGGCGGATACGGAGCGGTTGGTAAGGTGGATGACTCTGGCCGCAGAATTCAGGATAGACTGAAGCGGGGATAGCCTGTGTTGGGGTAGGCTGGCGCGAGGAGGGAGTTGCAATAGTCAAGTCGGAGATAAGGGAGTGAATGAGTTGCTTTGTAGTTTCTGGAGTTAGGAACGTGCGTATTTTGGAGATGTTGCAGAGGTGGAGTCTGCATGAATTTGTCAGCGATTGGATCTGGGGCTGGAAAGACAGATTGGAGTCTAGAATGACACCTAGTACTTTGGCTTGCAGGGTGGGGCTGATGGTGGCATTGTTGGTCGTGATGAAGAGGTTGGGGGGGGGGGCGCGGGCTGGTGGGAAAACTAGGAGCTCAGTTTTGGCAAGGTTTAATTTGAGGAAGTGGCGTGACATCCAGTCTGATATGTCGTTCAGAAGGCTAGTGATTTGGGCGGAGACTGAAGGAGTGAGGCGAGGGGGTAGAGAGATAGATTTGAGTGTCATCGGCATAGAGATGGTAGTTGAAGCTGGGAGTGTATCAGTTAGCCAAGGGAGGAGGTATAGATGGAGAAGAGAAGGGACCCGAGGAAAGAGCCTTGGGGGACCCCAACAGAGAGAGGGAGTGAGGGGGAGGTGGCAGCATTATAGGTAACACTGAAAGAGCGTTGGGATAGATAGGAAGAGAGCCAAGAGAGAGCGGAGTCTCTGAGGCCAAAAGAGTATAGTTTTTTTTGAGGAGGAGGGGGTGGTCGACCGTGTCGAAAGCCACGGAGAGGTGGAGGAGTAGTAGCACTAAGTAGTGGCCATTGGCTATGGCGGTTAGCAGGTTGTTGGTGAGTTTGAGTAGGGCGGATTCAGTGGAATGTAGGGGGCGGAAGCCAGATTGTAGAGGATCAAGGAGGTTGTTGTCGGTGAGGTGGGAGCTTAGGCGATTATAGGCTAAGCGCTCAAGGAGTTTGAATGAAAATGGCAGCAGGGAGATGGGTCTAAGGTTGTTTAGGTCGGTGGGATCCAGGGAGGGTTTTTTAAGTATGGGATTGATGTGCGCATGCTTCAGAGGGGAGGGGAATGTGCCAGTAGAGAGGGAGAGATTAAAGATGTGAGTGAGGGAGCATAGGATGGAGGAGGAGGGTGATCGTAGGAGTTGTGTGGGGACAGGGTCAAGGGGGCAGGTGGTAAGGTGAGCTTCAGAGAAGACCTTACTGACCTCTTCGGTGGTGGCGGGGTCGAAGGAGTGGAGTGTTGAGGGGGTTTTAGTGTGAGGAATATTGGGCGGGGTGGAGGTCAGGACAGTGGCGAGGTCGAAGGAGAGGAGTGTTGAGGGGGTTTTTGTGTGAGGGATGCTAGGTGGGGTGGAAGTCTGAGCAGTGGTGATGTCCCTGCCAATTGCATCAATCTTGCTTTGGAAATGATTAGCAATCTCGTGGGCGGTGAGTGAGGTACTGGGTGGAGGTGGGGGCGGAGAGAGCAGGGAATTGAAGGTGGAGAAGAGCTGGCGAGGGCTGGAGGAGAGGGTATTGATGAGGGTTACAAAGTAGGCTTGCTTGGCAGCATGGAGGGAGGAAGTGTAGGTGAGGAAGGCGGATTTGTATAGGGAGAACGCTTGCTGGGATCTGGTTTTGCGCCATAGTCGCTCTAGCGCGCGACTGCGTTGCTTGAGGTTTTTGGTGTGGTCATTCTGCCAGAGTTGAAGTGGTCGGGGTCTAATGTTTCATGTGGTTAGGGGTGCTAAGGAGTCAAGAGCGGCTGACAGCGAGTTGTTATAGACAGTAGTGGCCAGGTCAGGACAGGACAGGGGAAGGATACTGTCGTAAAGTTGGTCAGCCGCAGAGTGGAAGGGGACAAGGTCCAGGTTGTGGAGGTTTCGGCTGGTGATGGTTTGATCTTTGGAGGGGTAGGTGTAAGAGGACAAGGAGACGGAGAAGGTGATGAGGTTGTGGTAAGAGAGGGGAAAAGGGGTGTTTTTGAGGTTGTGGGGGGTGCAGAGATGAGAGAACACAAGGTCCAGGGTGTTCCCGTCGGAGTGGGTGGAGGACTGTATGCACTGTGCGAGTGCAAAAAAAAAAGGTTAGGTGGAGGAGTTGGGATGTGGCCGGGCTATTGATGTTGGTAGGGATGTTGAAGTCCCCAAGGATGATGGTGGGCAGCTCGGAGGAGAGAAAGAAGGGTAACCAGGCGGAGAAGTCGTCTAGGAAGCGGGATATGGGTCCGGGGGGCCAATAGATTACTGCGATCCTCAGGGGATTGGAGAGAACAGTCGGATGCAGTGGGCCTCAAAGGAGGAGAAGGATAGAGAGGGAGGGTTTGGGAGGGCTTGGAAGGATGTGGGGAAACACTCGGAAGCAAACAAAAGGACAAGCAGGGCGCCAGATCAGAGTGGGTTAAACCATAGAGACTTTATTACAAGAGCATTTACATGTAAATCTCCCTCGTTCAGCATCCGGGATACATGCAATAGGCAGGAGCAGTGAAGAAAAAGGTCACTGGAATAGTGGAGCCAATTATCACTTTTTTATTTGCACTAGCATCCAAATATCCAGGACAAGCTTTTGGGGTGTACCACTTCTTCTGCAGAACATGGACACAGACCACCAAACAGCTATTACTTCAGAATAACAAAAGTACTGCTTGGACCTTGAAGAAGGGGTACACCCCAGAAGCTTGTCCTGAATATTTGGATGCTAGTGCAAATAAAAAAGTGATCATCGGCTCCACTCACCCAGTGACCCTTGGCTTTACTGTTCCTGCCTATTGCATGTATCCCGGATGCTGATAGAGGGAGATTTACATGTAAGTGCTCTTGTAAGAAAGTCTCTATGTTTTAACCCACTCTGATCTGGTGCCCTTCTTGTCCTTTTGTTTGTCCAAGGAGTTGTCCAGGGAGTTGCCCAGCATCTCACCTGACTGAATACTGCCAGTCACAGCAGAGGTTGTTGGTTCAGATCGGGATCCTGACACCTCTTTCCATCAGAGTGCCCTTTACATCACAGCTACCCTGATATGACAAGCCTGGACAGAGGGCAGAAGCTGCCCAACTTTTGATATTAAAAAGTGGGAGATTGGTTGCTAGAACATTATAACATCCATTTACCTGCTTGCTAACTTTAAAAATTGGGCAGCTCCCACCCTCCATCCAGACCTGTTGCATCTCCCACCCTCTGCCCTACTGTGAAGATGACACCATGCAACAAGGAGAGAGATCCCAGGAGACAAACAGGCAGCCGAATGCAGTGGCCATGGTGGTTGAGACAGGACTTATACCTGATTTGTGTCTGCACCACTATTTTGTGATGCCTGATGTATACTAAACTTTGACAGGCAGCCTCATTTTAGCAGAATGAGGTATTCTGTGGAGTGAGTACTGTTATAAGTTGTTTTTTTTTGTCATTTGCTATCCAGATATACCCATTGAGAGTCACACACAGCTGCACTAAATTTAAATATCTGAAATAGCAATGTGTATCTGTTGGGGATGGGGGGGTTGGATGGCAGCAACTGTGGTGGTGGTGAGAGATCTCAAGAGAGAAAGGCAAACTCAAGTGTTGAGGGTGGAGGGAGGGAAGTGTGGTGAGGGTAAAGGGGTGGTTGGGAGGCGGGGGGGGGGAGTGAGGAGAGACGGTTGATTGGGGGAGAGGTGAGGGAGGGGTAGAATGAGTGGTGGGGCAGGGGTGGGGGGTTGGAATGAGTGATGAAAGTAGGGGTGGGTTGAGTTGGAAAGTGGGTGAGGGCAGGGGTTGGTTGGTTTGGAAAGAAGGGTCAGGGATGTAAAGTGGTGAGGGTAGGGTTGGTTGGGTTGGAAAGAGTGATGAAGTTAGGTGGGAAAGGTGGTTAGAGCATGGGTGGGAAGGTGAGGGGAAAAAGTGGTGTGGGGTTGGGGGAAAGTGGTGTTGGCAGGGGTTGGTTGGGTTAAAAGAGTGGTGAGGGTCAGATGGGTTCATTGGGTTGAAAGATTATCCAAAGAGAGTTTTCTTAAAGGTTCAAAGGGTGATTTATGCAGAACAGAGGGAATAAAACTAAGAATCCAAGGACGCACAGAGTGCTGTAAAGTAGTCTAATCTGGGAAACACCTTGAATAAAGGTTTTCACTACGGAAAATGAACCCAGAGGTTTTGGGAACAAAATGGACTGTGTGAAACCTGTCCCTTAGGAGTTCTTAAAGGCAAATTCTGGTCAAGTCCCAATTGCATAATGGCTAGAATGTGAGGCAAAGAGGACCGACTGGGATTGAAATGCCTGTGTTCATACCAGGCAAAGAAAGATTTCCAGGTAAATAGTACAATTTTCTGGAAGTGGCTCTTCTGGCTTTGATCAATGTGGGAAGGACAGAATCAGAGACACTACTGTCACCTCAAGCCATGTTGCTAAAGCCAGTGATTGAGAAGCACTTTAGTGAGACAAAAGGTCTGGCATGTTTGAAAGAGGCCAGGGGTCGTCTCCTAGAAGTTTGAGTATAAATACGGATGAGTATGTAAGCTTACGTTACTCGGTTAATGTGTAAGGTAAAGTCTACAGGATTGGAAAAATCAGTATGTAAATGGGTAGAAAACTGGCTAAAAGATCGTATTCAGAGAGTATTGGTTAATGATTCATACTCTGAATGGTCTAGGGTGGTCAGTGGTGTACCCCAAGGTTCAGTGTTGGAGCCCTTACTTTTTAATATATTTATAAACGATATAGGGTCTGGTATTAGAA